AAGATGGGAAGGTAATATAAAATTAAGATAGAAGAGTGTCCGTGTGCGTGTGCGTGTGTGTGTATGTGTGTGTGTGTGTGTGTGTGTGTGTGTGTGTGTGTGTACATGCGTAAGTGTGTGTGCGCAAGTGTGTGCAAGTGTGTGTTTGTGTGTGTGTATGTGTTTGTGTGTGTGTGTGTGTGTCAGTATTATGTGTTTAAATAATTTATGTTTATTTTCTGAATTGTGAGTGCGAGTATGCGTGCATGTGTGTTTGTGTAGAGAGACGGGTGGGTGGTGGAGACAGATGGATGAGAAGAATACAGATAGACACACATACACGGCGTTTCACGACAGGATAGGGGCTCAACCAAACAGCTTACTTACCTGAAACGCAGGTAATCACAACGAAGAGAAAAGCAGAAAGACGATTTATCCGTTCCATGATTCTAGACTTGTGACACAAGTGGTATCTTATAAATTTACTCTGACAAATCACAGCCACTCAGCCTACCCTGTAAACAATTTGAAAGCACACTTGAGCTAAAAACTGTGAAACGTGCACACGTTGAAGTTATATTATTATAACAAGCACAATAAATTCTCTCCTGGCACAGAGAAAAACCGCTAGTGTGCTTGTAGAAGAATGTTTTATGCCTCGAATAACACAGTAATGCTGGTGTGCTGAATTCTTTTCTCTGCTTCCTTCGGAATCTTCTAAAGAGAAGAAGAACAAAAAGTGTCCTTTATTGTAAAGAAGCGAGAAAGTAAAGTCCACACTGGCGAAATATTATGCTCTGGGTCGAAATCACGTCGAAAAGGTACTTCGAAATCAAAGCCCTGCCAAAATCAATCGGAACCCTGCAGCAGTGCCGTATCACACATGCGAAGAATCAACTTCAATCAAAGAAGCCCATTTGCAGAAACAGGCCTTTCGTGTTACCGGTACCCGCTGTGGGCTGTGGATGTCTGAAACGGGTGTGCTAAAGCGGTGGCAATTCGACGGGATCCTCCCCCTTCTTCGAAACCGCGCCCATTCCAGGCTTGTGTTAAACGTTCAGGTCCCACAAGTGCAGTTGTTTCTTCTTCTTTTAACTGGGGGCATAAATTGGACCCTCCTCACTCCTCTCAAGCCAGGCAGGGAAGCGTGAATGAACAGCAAGCCGGTCAGAGGTGCTCGGTAGAGTTTACTTTGTGTTGTAGGGGCGTTCAGAAGCCACAACAAACAGGACCGCCTTACTGGTACTGTTTGGTTGCTCAGGTTCTTTTATCAACAGGGACCTGTGCATACCTCCACGCAGGTAGACATGGCGGGCCACTATAAGG